GTGTTATATACCAGGTGTTCTAGACCAGGTGTTCTTCACCAGGTGTTCTTCACCAGGTGTTCTCCACCAGGTGTTCTTCACCAGGTGTTCTCCAGGTGTTATATACCAGGTGTTCTAGACCAGGTGTTCTCCACCAGGTGTTCTCCAGCAATTGTTGTCCCTCAGGTGTCGGCTGCAGTTGTCTCGTCGTCATGCTGTTTTCTTTTGTGTTCACGTAGGTCGAAAGGAGGGCCGTTTCCGTGAGCCCCCACCGACTCCACCCGGCTACACCGCCCTCACCATCTCGGATGTTGCGGATGGGCAGCACCCTCCGTCGTCCGCCTCCACGCCCACAGCGACCCACTCGAGCCGCCGTCCGCCTGATTACACCACAGCCCTGCAGCGCTCGCGCATGGTCACCCAGTCGCCCGACTCCCAGCAGGCCCATCAGGCGGCCAAGCATCGAGCGGGGGGCCTCCACCGCACCCGCTCACCGGCCGAGGAGCAGGAGCCCGAGGAGGAAGAGGAGGGTGAGTCTTCCAGACTAGTCACTCTGAAGAAACCAGTGGCTCAGCACATGTCTGAGACCCCCCCACCATGAGAGGGTGTGGGGTAAACAGACACTCCTTTAAGGCAGGTAAAACCTCATTTATCAGGTTGTCCCCCACCCCCCACACAAAGACCCTGCATGTTAACCGGAACACAGAAGACTGCAACTGACCGTTCCTTCACGCACCCCCAGCACCTGCACAGCCTGCCCCCCCTCCGAGCTACAAACCGCTCGGGGCAGGAAGCTTCTGTAACTCACGTGACGTCATCCTGCACGAGTCAGACGCTCACTTCTCCCCTCATCATCACACCCCCTGCTCTCATGGGTGAGACGAGAGTAACTCACCTGAATGTTTATCTGGAACATCTCGTGTCTGCAGCTCTTTGAATCAGAGACCAACAAGAAGGAGCTCCAAATTATTATGAAGTGGAAGGAAAACGGTTCTTTGGCTTTAAACTTTGTTCGAGTAGGAATGTAAAGTGTGGCGTTCGTATCCAGTGAACCCGGTTGGTCGTTAAACAGCGTCCACCTGGGTGTTCGCAGATTGAGATTATTAAACAACTCAAGCTGTGAGATTATTTAATCCATCATCTGAAAGTGGACAGAACGCTGCACAGCTGCACAGGTCCTTCACTTAAACTCCAGTTCTTTTAACAAAGTTGAGTCAGGTCCTCTGGATGGATAAAAAAAAAAAGTGGCAACATTTAGTCTTTTATCCAAAGGACTTCTTCAGTCTGAGGAGCTGCAACAAACTCAGTCTCTTAAATAGCACCTTCTCATGATGGATCAACCAGTTTGTTGTTGACATCCAAAACCAGCTGTTCACGTGATGAAGGACCATCAGCCTAACAATGGGTCATTAGCACCTGATGGCTGTTTACTGTTCACAGAGGGCTGAGTGATACTAGCAATCACAGCATTGTAAGAGGGGGACAGTTGAACATGGAGGCTCCGCCCCTGTTTAATGATGGACGGTTTCTTTTCACAAAGATGGCCTCCTTTACTCCTCTCTCAAACCATCGTTCCTCTCTATCCAGGATGTGAACATCTTCATCCCTGAAAGAGTGACCGCTGGCCTGGAGATGAGTGTAGACCTCAGAGTCCTGGCTGATGATGTTGATCTTCTGTGCTGGTCCATCCTTTTGGCCAGTGGCTTTTTAGTTTCCCCGATGTAAGACTGATCACCCTCCTGACACTGAACAGCATACACAATATTACTCTGTTTGTGCCGGGGGACTGGATCTTTGGGATGAACCAGTCTTTAATGTATTTTGGGGTTTAAAAGCCACTGGGACGTCGTGTTTAGAAAATAAAAGTCTCTGAAACTCGTGCAACATATGGAATGAGCACTGGTCTGGGTCTGGGTTCCTCCTGTTCAGCTGCTGACTGACTGGAGTCCAGTTTGGGTTTCTCCTGTCAGGAAGGCCCAGTTGCTCCAGGTCCGGTCTGGTGTGGTCCGTCCAGAAGTCGTGACTTGACTTTGTTAGATTGTTCCACCTGGATTATTGAGCAGCATCTAGTTCTTCTGCTTCAGTCGGCCTGAACGTTCTGTTGTTCCTGAAGACCATGTTTGACTCGTACATGTTGAGTGTAAAAACAAAACATTTCTTGTTAAAATCGTTTTGAATCCAGAGACTCGAGGTCAACTTTACGTTCTGTGGACTCGAGGTCAACTTTACGTTCTGTGGACTCGAGGTCAACTTTACGTTCTGTGGATTGAACCGTTGAGTTCATTATCGAACTGGACTTTGTGACCTGAAGATGTTTCGTTTCACTCTTATTACCGTTTATTAAACATTTAGTTTAATCTGTGTCTGTTTGTCTCCACAGACGATGAACAGGTGTCCGCAGTCTGAGGGACAACAATGGACGTCTTGTTGCAGTAACTTGAAGCCCCCCCCCCCCCCCCCCCTCTCTGGGGCCAGGGTCCGGGGTGGGCAGGATTCAAGAGACAGACCAACGGACTCGTCATCAAACGTGCCTGCCTCCTCCACCCCTCCTTATGGGTGGACTCCTCTGCTCGTCTCCCTCCCCTGCCTTAAAGCATCACGGGGGGGTCGGTGACCCCGCAGAGAATACTGTGAAGAAAAACTGAGGAGAAGGTCGACGATGACGACTTCGTGTCCGGCACTTTGGACAAATAAAAAATAGAACTCCAGAAACATTAACTGACCGGGGTCAGGGGTCAACCTGATGTCGCTTTTAGAAATGTGACACCCCCACCCCACCCCCCACTGGTGACACCACCCACCTGTTAACGAGCTCCATCGGCACTTTTTCTTTACAACAAATGGACCAGCGAACGCAGACTGTTGTCGAAGGCAGAGAGGAGCGGCGGTCGACTTCATTAAAGTTCAGCTCCTCGCTCGGCTTCTTTTATTTTGTTGAAACAATTGCACTCTCGGGGGGTGGGGGGTGGGGGGGCACTTCAGCCCTTCAGGTCTCTGTCGGGACTGAAACGACCCGCCTGTCATCGAGTGTTTGAACTCTGAGTCCAGTATTATCTCATGTCCACATGTGAGAGTTCATCTAAACCACACACACACGCACACACACACACACACACACACACACACACACGGTTTAATTAAAGCACTTTCAGCACAATCTTGGAGGTTCCTGGATGTTTGAGCACCAGGGTGGAAGTGGACCGTACGGTCCTGATGTTCTCCTTTCGTACCTTTGAAACCAGACGAGTACTGTTCTGACCTTTAGCTGATGTATTCTGTATAAAAAAAGCACAACGAGGGAAAATGAATCGAGTTCTCCTGGAACAGCCACGAGGGACAACTGGCAGGAAAACTGCCTCTGTCGTTCCTTAGTTTGGGTTCGGGTGGCGTCTCACTGAGCTGCGACTCTCAGGCGAGTTGGAAACTCCACATGTCGAGAAAACGTTTCTGAAGGTTCGGTGTCTGCGACCGAATGAGCAGCGAGCTGTGCGGCCCCGCTTTAACGGTTTCTATTTGTCAATACTATTCAAAACAGGCAGCACGGTGGAGCAGAGCGGCCGCCTCCCAGTGAGAAGGTCGCCTGTTCAAATCCCGACTCGGGACCTTCCTGGGTGGAGTTTGCATGTTCTCTCCGTGCTGCGTGGGTTTTCTCCGGTTTCTTCCCACAGACCAAAAACATGCATGTTAGACTGACTGGTAACTCTAAACTGTCCCTGTTTGTCCCACTGATGGACTGGAGACCTGTCCAGGTGTCCCCCGCCTCTCGCACAGTGACTGCTGGACATGGACGCCAGTGACCCCTGGATGGATTCATTCAAAAACACTGTTTGCCTCCGAGCGGCAGTGAAAGCTGCACAGCATAGAAGCAACAGAACACGAGGTCCAAAGCAGACGAGTCTGTTCTTAAAGACGTCGACTCGTTAGCCGTTCAGCTGGGGGGGAGGGGGGGTCAGCTAAACGTGACTCCGTCACCTCTGAGAGGAAACGCTGCGAACGTGGTGACGCTTCAGGCGCAGCTCGGAGACGCCGCCTTTAGAGACTCCAGACGAGCTCGTCCTCCAACGGGTCCTGTAGCGTTCACTCCTTCTCATTTGACTTTTTTAATTTCCTCCAATCGAACATCTGGTGAATGTCGAAGCGCCTTAAGCTGTCGTGGTGTTCCCGTCTTCACACGGTCCGTCACCTTGAAGTAGAATCAAACTGTAAAGGATTCAAAATGCCTTATTTGAGAATTGTCCCTCCTATTAAAAAACCCAACCCGTAAAAGACTGAGGATGAGATGAGGTGAGGTGTTTGTGGCTCCAGCAGAACCGTCAGCGTCGTGTTGTGATCTCGTCTCTGAAACTTTCCCCGCCTGGTCCGAACCACGACCGCAGCTCGCCTCGACTGAACGTTTCCTTTTCTTTGACTCCGGTGGAGAAGTCGACAAATGAAGTACTTTGTTTTTTTAAGCTGCCAATCACAACCTGAAACATTTCCTGGATCACCGCGCGGCACCGATCACATTGATCAGTCCTGGGAGTTCAGACTGGAGGGAACGACGAGCGGCGTTTCCCGTTGTGTTCTGTGACGACACGCTAATCTGGTTCCTGTCGGTTTTTGTAAATCACTTTTTGTAACGGCTGCAGATGGATTGCTAATAAGTTGTTTGTAACGCCGTGGTGACACTCTGAACACGATGTGCATATTAGCAGGTCGAGTCCTGTTTCGAAAACTAAAAGTTGCACAAAAACGTACAAGATAAGTGTAGAGGGTAGAACTGCTACTCCGTTCCGTGTGTGACGTCGGTGACATCTGTACATTTAGCTGGTGACGACTTCAGTTTGTGTTTCCTTCTACGACTTTAACCTGTACGTCTTTTAAAAAGACAATCGGTGGAGTACGTATTCGTTGTTTTTGTATTTTTAATACAATAATTGTAAATATTGGTTATATTTTTGTTCAAATGTAAAATGTTTATGCCTCAACATCCAGTTTATATGAAGCTGGGGATCAATAAATACTGCGTAAAGACTGACGTTCAGACACTTCTTTCATTTTTACTTCTCAGCGTCAACATTAAGAAAATCATCTGACCTCTGCGTGTCACGAAGAATAAAATCTGATTTATTGTTTTATTTATTTATTTATTCATTTTTTAATCTAACAAAGTTAAGTCAGGTCCTCTGGATGGAAATTATTTAAAAAAAAAGGTTGAAATGTTTCGTCTTTTATCCAGAAGACTTCTTCAGTCTGAGGAGCTGCAACAAACTCAGTCTTATAAACAGCACCTTCTCATGGTGGATCAACCAGTTTGTTGCTGACATCCAGAACCAGCTGTTCACATGCTCAAGGAGGACCGTCAGACTAATGACCTGACATTCGTGCCCTGATGAGCACTTACTATTCACAGGAGGCTGAGTGATACTAACAATAACAGCATTGTAAGAGGGGGACAGTTGGACACGGAGGCTCCGCCCCTTTTTAATGATGGACAGGTTCTCTTCACAAAGATGGCCTCCTTTACTCCTCTCTCAAACAATCGTTCCTCTCTATCCAGGATGTGAACATCTTCATCCCTGAAAGAGTGACCTCTGACCTGCAGAGGAGTGTAGACCTCAC